ATATATATAGCAACAATAGTGTAGTTTAGGAATATTTTATTTATACATTTATATCCAATTGATATATCCATGTATTACTATTTTCCTACCTGATATTATACAAATAAAAAAAAAAAAAATAACTGAATTATATATCTAATGAAATACTGAATAAATTAATTTACTTTTTTTAAAAAACTAGACAAAGTCTTGTATGCAATAATACTATTTGGTTTTCATGATTTTTTATAAGAATAGTTGTCATTATTAATTTTAATTTCTTCAATTTTTCATATTCCATTTAATCAGATTGCTAAATACACCAAGCTGATTCTTCTTCACCTATTTTTACTATATTAATTAAATTGTTATATGGAATCTATTTAATCATGCTTTTATATTCCAAGTTCTAAGTTAAACCATTTTTAAACAATTGTTAATCTCTTTATTTCTACTTATCCATCTTGTTTCGCATGTTGACCATATTTTATTTGTGTTATTTTTATTACAGTATGCACATTTTCTGTAATTAGAGTCACTTTAAATTAAAATATATAATATATAGTATTTTATTTCATCAGTTATGCTATTTTAAACTTGAATCAAATGTAAATAAATCTTGCACTTACTGATTACATTAATGTGAATAAATGATTTAAAGGGTATTAGATAATAAATAGTAAATAAGTATTTATAATTTTGATTTGTAAACTTGCTTTTAATTTCAATAATTAATAAATTTTCTTTATACTCACTTTTTAAATAAATGATTAGTGCGAATTAGTGTTGTTAGAAGAAACTTAGAAGTTTCACAAAAGGTGAAAGTCGAAACTAGGTTCAACTTTCACCAAAAAAAAATTGAAAATAGCAAAATAGTGAAACTGCTAAAACTGGCGAAATTACTAAAATATGAAAAATAATAAAATTAGTAAAAGATAAGAAAATTAATAAAATAAGTACTAATAGAATGATTTATTGTTTATTTATATATAAGATAAAAGGAAGTATTATAATGTATGTTCAATTACAGAAATCAGAAATAGATAATTTTATTATTATTTAATTTATTTTAAATAAAGCATTAGAAACTAGTTGTCAATAATAATGTTAACAAATTACTTACATATGTATAATATTTAATTAAAGTTTTAATGATGAAATGCTTGTAAAGAATAAATCTTAACTATATAATAGTAAATTTATTTAAATATTTTGATAAGTTTATTTTATACAAATAATATTAATATATAAATAAATGCTACTAAAAGAAAACAGGATTTCAAACTTAGAATTTTTAGGCACTGAATTGATTTATTATAAGTTCAAAAGCCTGAAGTCTAGTTTTCTTTTAACAGTATTTAAATACAAATAAAAGACCATCACTTTGTTTATTGCTTTTGCACATTCTTATATAAGTCAGCTGTACTTAATAGCTATATGCAAAATATTTTTGATTCACCAACATGGTTCAGTCTTTCCAAAACCTTAGAGAATTTAATCTATGCTGTGTTTAACTTTCTCCAAGGTTTTTAGCTTTACTAGGAGTTTCACCAGAGTTTTGACATTTCGTCAGAGTTTCACCAGTTTTGACTTTTACCAAGTTTAGTTTTGACTTTCACTACTTACCAGAAATAGTTTTGTCTAACAACACTAGTACAAATGAAATAATTTAAAAGGTATTGGTAAATAAGTATTTATTTAATTAGAGAGTAGAATTTAAATACTAAAAAATGCAAGGTAAATGATATCATAGTTGTGATAACTAACAATAGTAAAAGCAAAATTTTAGAAACAAAAATTGGTAACCCAATACAGATTAATTTGTCTATTTACCTGATATTTAACATTTTGTTGATGGAATGATAATCGATGATCATTAAAGACAATAGCAAAATAATTTTCAAAAATCAGATAATCCAATAATTTATTATATGATGTCTTGTAAACTTTGTTTAATGCGAGTGAACTGCCCAGTAGTGTATATCAAATGCTTTACAATATAATGAGATGCTAGATAGTTTTATTTGGATGTTACTTGGATTCTTTGTTAGTTACCATATTTGCTTATTAATACTATTGAGTTGTATATTTTCTTTAATGTTTTTTTTGGATTCAGAATTATAAAACTTAATGCTTAAAATAAATAATTATAGTCTTCTGGAAGAGCAATAAAATAAATATATAAGGTTTCTAATACAATTACATTTTCTTAATTAGTTTTTATAAACTATTCTTTTTTCATTTATTATTAGTAAAAATTTATTTGCCAAGATTTTAATAATCATGTTTTTATTTTGAAGAATTAAAGGAAAAAAAATATTAAAAATCAATTATTATACTAAATAATACTGGAATAATGATTTTACTTCAGTCATTATATGCTATATCATAAATTTAGAGTAGTGTAAAAATATGTTGTAATTATTATTTATATTATTAACTTAATACAATATTCATTAGATTTTGCCTTTTAATTTTTTCTGCTTCTTTAATTGCACAATCTCTATATGAATTATTATTATCATCATTATATTGTATTCGATGCATTACAATCTGCTCTAAAGGTTCTTTCTATTTATCTTTATCTCTTTCTAATAAATTATGTAAAATTAATGAAATTTCTATTAAAACAGTTGCAATTTTAGTATTTTTGGTTTGGAGCTCTTTTAATAATTGAAATCTATTTTTTAGTTAATCAAATGCTTGTTCAACTATAATATGAGATTTGCTATGCTTTTTATTGAATAAAGTTTGTCTATTTTTATCTAGTCCTGAAGGATCTTTAAATGAAGAAATAATATATAGTGAAATTGGATATGCAGAATTAGCTAAAATAAATCATTTCCTTCAAAAAGCTGATTTTTGTAATGATATAAACTAGAATTTTGAAACACTTTTGCATCATGAACAAATGCAAGATATCCAAGATCATAGTTTATAAAAATTTCTTGATAATCAACAACAGCTTGGAGATGTATAGCATAATGACATTTTCATATAAAATAGACATCTTTATTTTTTTTACTAGGTACCTCAAATAAATTCATATGAGACCCATCTAATATGCCAATTATATTTGGAAAATTATGCATCTCTTCAAAACTTTTATAGACTTTTTGTCAATAATTATTATATGGCCAAATAATAGTATCTTTTTTTAAAGATTTTAAAGCCTCAACAACTCTAAATATAAATAAAGGAACAGTATCTTCTGATATTCCAAATTTTGAATAAATATTCCAAATAGTTACTTTGCTTCCTAATCTGTATAAAACTATAGCAAGTTGTTTTTCTACAGGATTTTGTGTATTTTGTGGAATATTTTTAAAAATACTATGATTACGTATCTTATTAACAATCATCCAAAATGAAGATAATTGTATTCTTAAAGTTTGATGAAACTGAATTTTATTATAGTTAAACAAAACATTTAAATACCAATGATCTGATTTTGGATGTATATTTATAATTCGTGATAGGTTATTTAAATGATATGAAATAATAGAGCTAATAAGAGTTTCATCATAGCAAGGATTGATATCAAAATTGGAATTTATATTTGAATCAGATTCAATTTCAATTGAATCTAAAGCTTTAATAAGTAACTGAAATTGAAATGAATTCATTACTTTTATGATCTTAGTAATAATAATTAATGATATTTTGTCAGAATAATAAAAAATTTAATTTTTTTTTTAGAAATCCAAATAATATTTATAATTTAAATTTTTATTATTAAACCTATTTACATTATTTTATATAATAATAATCAAATTCTACCAATCTGTTAAGATAATCATTATTAAATTTTTTTTGTTATGATATACATATAATAAATAATTAAAAATTACAGTTTTAATTAATTTATATAATAATAAAAATCTATTTAAAATTAGTTTTGATAAATAAATTAAATAATAATTTAGTATAATTGTTAAATTTTATTTTCTATAATATGCAATATGTGCAAATAAAAATTATATGTAACTCTTTATTATTAAACTATTTATTGTTATAATTCTTTGTTTTTAGTTCATAAAGAAATCTTTAAAAAAAGTAGCAAACGAATTGATCTAATAGTAATCTAATACTATTATCTTATTATAATAATATATACACAAGTAGTAGATAATTAAAAGTAATATATATTTATTTGGTGGCATATTATTTTATATAGCAATCTTTACTTAATGTTTTATTAATTTCAAAATCAAAATTAAAGTTCAGAACTCAATTTGACTATTTGAACTAAACTAATTAACTTGAAAAAAGTCATACTATTGCTAATTCTAAAATTGTCTAAAGTGTAATACAGTAATGAATTTAATTATTTTAGAACTTTTAGAAATTTGATAAAAAAATAAAGAATAATCTGTAAACCTATCTGAACTT